ACCTACCCGGTGCATTCAAACGTATTGATATTTTATTAAATTAAATTATGATTAAAGTGACAGGTGTACGAGTATTTGCTGTAGATATTATTATTATTTTAAAATATTCATATAAAAACTTTTTCCAATATAAATAATACCAAGATGAGTAGACAGGCACTAATAGTTGTATTTTATATACCAAGAAAAATAATATATACATTGTTAGAAAGATTTTGAATTATAACGTTCATTTAAAATATTTTAAATTGGATATTTAATGACTAGAAAATCCATAGTAGATGCGCAAAGACACTTAAATATATGATCGAAAATAATTCAAATTAATCAAACTTTGAATATAAGTTGAAATATTAATTACTGATTCTAAGAAAAACCTTTCCATCGCCGTGAACAAATATAATATACCTACCTAATATCATTGGTTTACGGTGCAACGGGCTTGCACTGTATTTTACTAATAATTTTATTGCTACAAGCACAAGTACAACAACTGATGCATTTATAATTACTGTTTTTATATACATATATGTTATATATATATTTATAGATACAACTTAAAATTAATAATCTTGAATTCTTGAGCGATAATTAAAGTTTCAGTAAAACACGGAGTTGACTTTTGACTTCGGATAGGGACAAAAGGGATGCAAACAAGTCTAAAAATATTATCAATTGAAACAGTGCATTGGGTTTGGAATGTTTGGATAATAACTTGTTAGATACTAAGTAGTAATAGTACTCTCCAAATAGATTAAACATTTTGCCGACACAACCAAATTGAAAAAAAAATTTGTATGAAAAATGTATATACAATTTTATTTTAAATACTAATTTTTAAGCTGTTTTATATTATATATATATATATTAGAGTGGATTGAATTTAAAAATATGGTTTTGAATTTTGTATTGTATGTCAAACACAACACAACTTGAACAATTTAGCGTGATGTACTGATTTCGAACTCAAACACAATAATATGCCATTCAACACTGAACTAATAGCCTGCAGTACCTACCATGAGTTTCGTTTATACCAAACTGAATCTTAAATGGACTTTTCAATTAAATTTCTAATCCAACTTTTTAGATTTATGTTGAAATAACCAATTAAAGTCTTATCAGTTCTATTTTAAATCTACAGATATATAGAATATGCTAGATTCCTAACTGTGAAACAGCGTTCGTGTAATTAATTAAAGTCATTGCCCGCCATTTTAAACAACGCCAATATTCGTCATAACTTGTGTTTATAAGATAATGTAAAATAATTTTTATTTAATAACTATTTTGTAAAAATAATAATAATTATTTTCTAAAGTCTAAAACAATAAACGTTGAACCAAATAGTTGAACACTTTAACATAATAATATTATTAATTGAATCCAGTATTTCAATGTAATAATAATAATTAATAAAACAATAAAAGCTATTACAAGAATTGTATAATATATTACCTATACTGAAATGTTAACTTTATGAAAATGTAGATGCATAAATAATTTATAGAATATATTATATTCAAAAGTTACATATTATAAAATTAAACAGTCTGTCAGCTTTTTTCTCTTATTATCAATATTAAAAATATGTGTGATAAGACGCATTGACCTCTTTTTAAATAGTGAATGGTAACTTCACGTTTGATCACAGTTAGCAATCTAGTTTATTCTATATTATATTATATTATAAAATATATTTATTACTAATCGGTTTTAACTTCTGTTTACTACTAATAAGTTTATTAAAAACAAAAACTGAAAAGAGTAAAATGCGGGTATACATTTGTCAATAAATTAAAAATAAATAACAGACAAACTACGAATTTAAAACTAAACATGTGCATGTATTTTTTGTTTGCAGCGTTAGATGTGTTTGGTTTTGATATTTTTTTTGATTTTGTAATCCGTTCTTAGAATTTTAACTATAATATGGAGTTCAGATTATTTATATAATTTTGAAGTTTTTGATCAGATTTGGTTTTTTTTTAGGTATAGCGAGTTCGACTTTCATACTCGCACCGATACCTAATAATGGTTTGTGCAATTTTTTGAACAGTTCAAATAGTTTGATCTACCTTTAAATTATTTGATAATATCGTTGTCATCTCGTATATTTTATAGCAGTATACCAAAATGATAATATACGCCTACATTTAATCTTAATAATAATAGCCTTTAATATACCTACTGTATTATAACGAAATTGAGTTTTATTGATCGATTAGTCTTACAAATCTTAGTCGTTGATATTAAAATATACTTCTCCCCTAAGCACGGCCGCGGCATAAAAGAAACTATATTTTTCCACATCAATATTTTCACAAATTAAAATATTATATTATACCTATTAAATCTGATTTCGTTTTCATTCCGTTTTCTCTTTTGACGGATATTATCGCGTGCTACAGAGTGTCGTATTGTCACAGCGCGCTCACTTAAAAAAAAAAAAAAAAAATGAATTAATAATAATAATATTTTTTTCGGGTGGCTACGACCGCGACGTGGCTTAATTCTGCGCGTAATGGCCAATAACGATCCGTGGTCGTTAATATATCGTTGTTGTCGCTCGGGGCTGACTTAAATTCTTATAATATAACACACAAAAAGAATCACGAGGGGTAGACGTCGCGGCGTGTGGCGATGAGGTAGGAAAAAAAAATTCTTCTGTGTAGAGCCTTTCCCCCTCGTGCCGTATTCCGTTCGCTCGCATCATATTGTTATTATGTGTATAATATAAAAATGGAGACTGACATTAATGAAATTTAAACGACATTCTTCATCATCAACCCCATCCTTTAGTGTATAGTACAGTAGTAATCCTACTTCATAATTGATCCCTTCGGCGCCTCTCTCCCGCGCGTCATCTGTTCAAATCTTTTACTTGTTAATATTTTCCACCGTTTTCCATCACAAAAGCTCTAAACCCACGTCTCTTTTCTCTGCCCCCTTCCCCTCCCGCTGGCCCTTAGCGCCGGGTGTGTCCTCCTCTCTCGCCTGTACGTTTTTCTTCCCACCCGTTCTCTCGGCCGCGCATTCATAATTAGAAGCGCGTGACTCCGCCGCTGCCGCCGCGTCGTCATCTCCTCCGCGATATATTATATACCTGCCGCCACGGCGGCGATGGAAGATCATAATTTAAAAAGGTCTCGGAGCTTAAGGGGACTCCATCTGTCTATTAAGAGCACCTTTATGTATATGTATATACATCTGTCTCACTCTCTTCTTCTTCTTTCGCGGGGCTTAGCGTACCGAGAGATACCTGACAAAAGCATCTCAGAAGTTAAAAGGGCTTGTGTCGCTTTTGTGTGCTTAATGCGCTGCCGGGCCAATGTTATTTTCTTCTTTCTCGAAAAAATCAAAACGTCTTATTATTATTATTTATTATTATTATTACTACTATTATAAAACGAAAGACAGTCTTATGTGCAATGATGAATTGACTTGGACTTAAGCGTCGGTGTCACATAAAAGTCGTTTTTGAAATCGGTTGCTTTTGAATAAGCGCAGCTTAACTCTTGGAAATAAAAGAAAAACTGTATTTTGTTTATTTATTTTATTTCACAATTTTCCTTACACCGATTTGATCGTATGAATAAATTATTATAATATAAATATACTATATCACTCTTAAACTTGTCTCCACAAATACGCAAATACTTAAACAGTTTAATTCATCTTACTAAAACAAATTCAAAGAGCATTGTATAACGTGATTTTGAGTTATAATACTTTCCAATTATATTTTCTCCCAATTTACACACGAATTAAGTTATCTTAGTGACAATACAAATTTGATTTTTAATATATAAGTATATATAAAAAAAAGTAATTAAATGGAACACATATTTTACAACTGATTACTATTTTTTATTAAATTAAAATCTATTTTCAATGTTCTTACTAAACTTTTTGATTATTTTACTAATATCGTTTAAGTGAACAAACATTATTTTGGTTGTATTTTATTCGTTGTAACAATATGGCCTATCTGACCATATACCATATACCTATCTGAAAATATACCGAACACTTAAATAATAATTATTTTAAACATTTTTACCATTGAGCCTTTATAACAACTTAGTGCTTAGGTACTTAATATTGTTACTTATTTCTTGAGTATATTCGAATTTATTATTGAATTTCGATCATTATACTTCTCTGGGTTGTCAGTTTCATATTTGTTAATACATGTATTACACGTGAATTTGTTAAATAATTTACATAATTAATTTACCTATAACATTTTTAGGTATAGGTATTTATTATTTATTCACATAAAGTATACAATTATTCGTCCACGTGCAGTAAAAAATTTAAATATTATTGTTGCAAAAAGTGCAATTAATCTAAACCTCGGTTGATTCCGTGGTCGAATATTTTCATTTTGCACCCGTATATGAATTTGTATTATTACAAAAGTTAATACCAATAATACCTAAACATATAACATAATATTGTATAATATACTTCCTCTCTCTTTCTTTCACAACAATTGGGAGTTAAATATCATAATTATAACGCTTGTGGGACCTTAATGTCATAATATTATTTTAAATTTTATACGGAAATCAGTTAATCGAACAACATAAAAATTATAAATGCATAGGTTAAAAAACGTTTGTATGGCTAATAACGTAATCAATTATTATGAAGTATTGATTTTATTTGTTTTAGTAAAAACAGTAAGCAAAATGAGTAGGTATGTAAATATAATTGCGAATCAATCGGTCCGCTTCATCAAAAATGACAAACAATAATTAATAAAATATATATATCAAATATGTTTTAGTGTAACACACGTTTGATAAAAAATAAATGTAAATGTTTTGGATCATATAGTACCTAACTATTTTGAACGCATTTTGGGAATGGTGATTTTTTTATTTTGAGGACGAATAGGTAAATTCCACTCAAGTCGCATTGTTTATAACGACAACGCATAAATGATTACCATAGTTTATTGTACAAATTAAAAATAAATGAAAAATATGACATTTTTATGAGTATGCATTGTATGTATTTAATCGATAACTGTTACAGGTGCCATTAATAGTATATAATACATACGATTTTCATACGTCAAAAAAAAAAAATAAAAAAAATATTTAATAATTATAATTTGAAAATATTTTGTGAGTAGATAGGATATGCAATTGGTATACTATTAACCTATTTTACGGTACCTTACATCATAACAATATAAATACGTATATATATCACGGAGAACTAGAAAGACCTTTTAATTTTATACAAAATCATTAAGTTGTGGTCTTTCTAATTTCAACAATATTATGACCTATTATAATATAGTCGCGTTCATTTTTGCGACGAAGACCTGGGATTGCCGTAGGCGATCGCATGACTGGTGGCCACACCGTGTCTGCCGTTGCTCACGCTGTTTGCGATCACCGTCGTGCCCGATGACCTCTCGTAACCGTTGCCCCCGTACGAGTTACCTTGGTCCGGACCCTGGCCCTGTCCTTGGTTGTAGTTACCGCGGTTGTTTCCGTTGCCCGATTGACCGTTGCCGCTGCCAGCACCGTTGGGGAATACACCGAACATTATGGKAAACCAAGCGTTGAACGAAGCTTCCGCATTGCTGCTCGGGCCATCGCGACCTGTCGATCACCACGATGATTATTAATTATTATATCACCACGTAGTTATTATATTAATATTATTTTTACTTTTATTACAGGTTAGGTTAGGTTAGGCTACGTCTTATATAGTTATACGACACACGGTTACATTATAGCTTTATGGTGAGCTATATATACATATAAATGTACTTTTCTTCGTATAATATCATCTATGAACTTGTATTTTGAACTGATAAAGGATTCTTTGAAAATATATTTTTCTGAATAAAACTAATCATAGATATGTATTTAAATCACGCAGTTTCACTAGAAAAAAATTATAGGATTTTTTTTAAGAAAACAGTTTCAAATTAGAAAAAAATTTAAAACTGTGGTACAACAGCAGTAAAAAAAAAAAAACTAGAACAGTTGACGATATAATAATAATGTTTCCGTGTACACGTCTATAATATATATTGACTAGATAAAATATCCACAGTACATAATGCTATGCTAGTATGCTAATGGCAATGACCTCAGCGACGTGCTAAGGCGAACAATATAATAATTATTATTATTATAATGGTAATATTATCATATCGGACAACAGCACAGTGTTTGCCATCTCGTGTTTGTCGTCGTTTTTATTTTATGTATTATTTATTTTTTAATACATATTTATTATTCCCACCTACTAAACAAACATATTTTCATTTACATTTCCATCGTTCTCCTGTTAAAACTGTTAGAGTTGAAAATCAGTTTTTCTTTTTAATATTTACGTTTTTATTGACTCTATGCATTTTAAGGGACGCGAATTATACTCTGAATCTATTTTTATACTCAGCCGGGTAGATCATAAACTCATAAAAGATACGATAAAATAATACGCACTATATTATGATGTAAATTATTGCGTGCACCTCGAGCACGGTGCTGACCACCATGGTCATAGTATATAAATATTATTTATCAAGACAATTCTTAAATGACGTGAAAACTGATTTTCATAACAAAACAAATCATACCTGCCTGTACACTTGAAAATGTTAAAAATCCGAAATTTTAGTTAAATTTGTTTTTGAGAGGACACGAAATAAGCTGAACGCTCGATGGAATCATACAAAAGTAGGTGCCTATAAACGTACACGACAATGGTATCAATGACCATCGTACACACGTGCTCGGCCGGTGTTGACGACGCGGCGAATAATTAATCGACACGCTTACCTCTGTACTGTTTCTTGCTGTCCGCTTGTTCCACGCTGTTGTTGCTCTGTTCCTTGGAATCTACCGGCACGCCCGACTTCGTTGGAACGTACTCTTGCGGTTGCTGTTGACTGCCCGCGGCCGACGAACCTCCGTATTGCTGTTTGTTGGCCGAGTCGGCGGCCGGCGTCTGCTGCTGTCCCGCGACGCCCGACGGCGGTGGCCCGTAAGAGTCTTGACTGGCCTGCTGTGGCCCGTAAGGGTCTTGCGTGGCCGGTTGCGGCCCGTAGCCGTACGGGCCGGCCTGCGACGGTGACCCGTAGCTGCCACCGAACATCGGGTACTCGGCCAGGCCGGTGAACGCGGCCATCTGACCGTTAGGGTTGAAACCGCTGAACGAAAATGATCGCATGGGTTCGGGGTTGCGCTTCATCCTCATCACGACCACTGTAAAAAAAAAAAAAAAAAAAGGTTAACCTTGAAATATATACCAGTTTTGGTGATGATCACAAAATAAAAAAAACATATTTTGACATAATACATTGTATTTTATTGATATTTCCTTTTACTGGGTCGATTAGCCCTAATGGTGTTCTGTACACGACAACGGCGATTTATCGTCGCAAAACACGAGCTCTTCTTATCGCGGTGGGCATATTAATATTAACCTAAATACCTGATAATATAGACAATCGTACAAACCCGTCGTGGATTTACAGGAGAGGACTTACTTTCTGGCACCACGTAAGCGGCTGACGTAGCTTGCAGGAAGACGGCGGCGACGAATACCAGCAGAGCGGCGGTCGAGGCGTAACGGCTAGCCATTTCGTATAAGATCTGCTGCAGCGTACTACGCGTTCGGAGACTTGAACCAAATCCGGTCTTGGACTTGGGGGGAGAGGTGTTGGTCCAGTGTCGTACTTACTGCGGGGCAGAGCTTGACGCGTGTACCTGTGGACTGCTCGGCGACCAGCGGTGGAATGGGACGAGTGACCGATCGACATCCCGTATATATAGTCCCCGCGGGCAGTCGTCCTGCACGGGGTTGCCAGTTGTGGCGGTCGGGGTGAGGAGAGGTTATCCCCTCGGTCCACCTGATACGTGGTCTGGACGCGTAATCGTGGTGCTGAATATTATTAGGCGCGCGCGATTTACCAATTCGTCGACGCCGTTTTCCGCGATATCAACGGTCGCCGCGCCAACGCAATAACAATGCGATGGTTGAAAAATATTATAATAACGACGTTACACCACAGTCGTCGCGTGCATTATAAAATCCTGCCGTGTCCGGGTTCGGGCGAGATGGGTGAGTCCACAGTTGCCAAAATGCCGCGTTAAACCCATTAACGATTCGTGTGTGCGCGGACTGCAGTTATAATATTATTATTATTTCGATTTGACCGTATAGAATCCGTCGTAAGTCGATACCAATATTTACACACGAACACGTAGGTACACCGATTAAAAATAAACGATACGATTTTAATATTAATAATATATGTTATATTCCCGTTCGGATTATAATATTATTAGTACTACACAATAGCTAGGTGTCTATATGATAATAATATCAACCATGTATAGTTAAGAGGGAAAAAAACGGTTTGCATATTATATACCTAGTAATAGTACCCATCATACCCTGCGACTGTAGGTTAGGTTCTCATTAGGTTTGATCGAAAGATTGGTAATTATTTTGAAAGCCATTGTTTACGGTTGAACGTGATTATTATTTTTAGTGCCTTAACTTTGTTTTAAAAACTAATTTTTGCATAGTCTGCTGTTGTTTTAATTTCATATTTTTGCACATATTTAGCTGTATCTAAATTAGTATTACACCAAGCATTGGTGCAATTTTAGTTTTCAGGATAGATATCTTCGTAAAATAAGTTATTCAATTTCGTTCAAAAGATTCGTAATGATTATATCATTTAAGTATTATTAGGTATATTCAGTGGTTGATATAGATTTTAAATATTAATTAAAAATTATCAAACATCATCTATAAAATCAAAAGTAGCAAAAAAATTGAATTTTTTATAGATTGATATTCAAAGTATTTTTTTAGTATAAGACTTTAGTCTTATACTAAAAAAAATGAAATTGATAATTTTTATCAAAGTAATAGTTGTTTTACTATTTTTACATACAAATTTAAAATTCAACAACAGCCAAATTATATTTTTGTTCATCAGTTGGTAATGCATTTTTTTCTTAGAACTGTTTATTGTAGCCACCAGTGCCACCACGCATCGTATATGTGCACATTTGCTAACCGAAAACTAAGATCCTACACGCATATGGTTCATATATAGGTAGAAATTAACGTTTAAATCAAAGAAACGACGTTGATCAGTCGTTAGGAAATGTCCGATTTCATATTATATAAATGATTAATTCATACTTTAAAATTTCCGTTACTCGAATATAGTAAAAAAAACATTATTTAGACTATATAATTAGTTTTATATTCTAGAACAATAATTTCTAATATTATAATAATCTTAAGTTATAATAGGTGCACACTTAAAAATTTGGTCCTAGTCTTCAATTTCAATAAAAGATACCAATTTAATCTTTAAATATTATGTTACTATAAAATTTACTCAAAGATTGTTCGATATTTTAAAAGAGAATATTAGTTATAGTAAGTACAAAATAAGTTATAATCTAAAATGTAATAACCTACCTATCTATTAAAAACAGCTGCATACCTATGGTAAATAACCATACACATTTTAATCTTCTTTGTCATACTTAAATACTAACTATAACAAAATACATCAATTGTATTAAGAGCTTCAATGAAAATTCTATTACGTTAGATTATAAACCTTAAAAATCACAAGGTCTCACCGTAGAACATAATAATGTGTTTCTCGAATAATAACTTAGATGTTGGTAACCTACATGTTAGTATTGTTAATATTATTTATATAAAAATGACATAATTGAAATTGTTTCATACTATATTTTATTTATAAACACCTAATTTGAATCTTACTTTAAAAGTTTAAGCCGAACTTGTTCATAAAAAAATATTAAATATAACTAGTATTGACATAGTATTCTATGAGATAATAACCTTCTAAGTAATTTTTTTTGTAAATACAATATAATGCATTTTACCAATTATATRCTTAGACTAACGTTGTAATTGCAGTTAACTCGGCAAAATAATTAGTGTATAATCATTAGACGTTTATTTTGGTGTGTAATTTTCGTTTCTATTGGTAAGTACTAACTGGGTAGGTGTAATAACTAATGAATTAAAGTTTAATAACTCATTATCAAATTACAAACAGTAGATTGGGATTTGTTGTCGCATTTACAAGATGCTTATTTAGTTTGTTGTCGCATGTGTTTAAAAAGTTTAAACAAAATTTATTTGAAATTTGATATTATATTAAGAGATAATTTTTTTTTACTTAAAATAATTCATGTATTATATTTATTTTCATTGAGTAATAAGGAAATTTGACACAAATTTAATATTGGAAACCAAAAGTTTAATTTTTATGTAACTTATCACAGAGGGGTTATTTAAGGGGGGAGGGGGTGGTCAGGTTGTACATTTGCACCAACTTTTTTTTTAAAACGCCTTCTTTGGCTTACCAACAATAAATACATGCTCCAATAAATCTAATTGTTTTACCCCATATATATTTTTTCAGAATTAAAAAAAAAAAATATTATGCTCATGTGTTATTTTGTTAATTAGGTATATAACTGTTTATTGTTCCATTGTGAGCAAGGGTATCCATCCATACAGTTACGATAAGTTACAGGTTTTATTAAGCTAGCTTATATTATGTATTTTGAGTGCCATGAAAAAAATGTATAGGTTAGGTTTGATTAGATATTTGATTACTAAGGTACCTGTAAATTTATTTAACAAGTATTAATACCATTGGTAACCACAAAATAAGTATAAATAATATACCTAAATATGTACATTAAAAGTACAAATAGTTAGACTAAAATAGTAATAATTGTGATATTTTCAATACAATATAATATATATATATATATATATTATTATATTAAATAAATTATACAAATTTTTTTAAAAATTTTCTCCCCCACTCATAAAAAAAAGTTATCTGGGTTGGTAATGATTTAAAATGGCCTGCAAAAATGTTGACACCAACAATAAAAAGTTAAAATGACGCCCTTGGCTTATCATTTGATGATTTACCTGGAATAACTTAACTTGTGATGATGTGACCAATGAAAATTAAAAATAATAAATTCTAACTAATATCTAAGATGACTAGTGTTTGATTTTTTTTATATGTTCTGTAAATGGTTTACTGCATTATGTGACCCAGTGAATGTCTCTACATGGTTTGTACCAAAAATTTCAAAGTCATACTTCGTAAATACATATTATTATAAATGTTTTACTACCATGCAGTAGCGTAACTACAAGCGGTAATGTGATATATAACGCCTCCCCCCAGAACTCACTTTGTTTCTACTATTGTGTTTATCTGTGTTTTATAATATTTGTTTTACTTAAGTAAACGAAAGAATTGGGACGGTAAATATCTGTATACATTTTATAGATCACACGTTTTGTATTATAGGTACATCACATTACTTATACGATACCTACATCTAGTCAGAAAGATTTTAGTATTTCGATTATTATTATGTTTGAGACTATCCAGTGAACTCTGATAATATTATATTGTATGATGAKAATTTAGAATAATACTATTTATGAATATTATCTTGAAAAATAATAAATATCTATGAATTATTATCAAAAAAAATTATGATGTTGTGTTTTTACTCTTTTTGAGTATTATAACAAATTTAAAAATACCCCTCCCTCGAAAAATGGTCACAGTTAATCCAATGCTCATATCAGAGTTCATATCGTTTTTTCGTGGAACGATCATACAGTTTTCTTACTTTTTTCAATCGCGACAATAATAATAGCAGGTAATGTAGTAATGAGTGTCTTACGAGTGTAATTATTCGTGTATAAACTAGGCTCGAGACACGTGACACGTTTTTATCAGTCTCGGAAAAGATATGTTATCTGTCGTCCATTGTTATCTATAATAATATAATAAAAATATTACCATCGTATTACACCGCATTATTACGTCAGCGGCAGACTGCAGCGGTCGGAGCTTGGCGACGTATGTCAGCGATTGGTCGTGAATACCCAATGATGCATAATAATCACACAAGCTCGTCGTATTTTCCGGGCGAGATGTGTCACACTTAATTATTATTTTTACTTTGGTAAAAATCGTATTCTGAAGACGAAACCGTATCGTGACGATTGACGTTGCTAATATTTTTTTTATATTATTATTATTATTCTGGTATATAGTATGTTGTACTATAATAATATGTCCGCACATTCAGGTGACTCTCATTCATTATTGATGAGCCCGGCAGCTTGTGACGCAACATGCACGAGCCGAGCACCTGGGCGCAGCGGCAGAACAAACGTCCGCCTCGGCCATAAGGACCTCTCGTGTCTGCACGAGACACGGCGTCTGTACATTATCTCGGAACGACGGACACGTCGCCGTCGTCGTTGTCGATCCGCACACCCGCAGGCTCGCGACGGGCGGTCGGCACACGAGTTGGCGATCGGTTGCCAATATCGTATTATACCTTCCTACACATTTTTTTTTTTTTTTTATTATTCATCTTTCGCATTGTAGTCGCTTCGATGACGGTTTTCACGACACGCACACACACACACACACGCGTGCTCGCGAGATCCGCGTGACCGTCAAACAATAGGCACGTAAAAACGAGAAAATAAAAATTTCAGAAAATTTTTTTTTTAAATTATACACATTAGCAAAACGCGTGTCACGTACTCGCCCGACTCTAGTCGCATAGTGCACGCCGGGCCGTGAATATCTTATAATATACGGTTTTTGTAGCCAAAGAACTGACCGGCCGCCGTGGGAATAAATACATAAGACATATGTTGTTGTGCGTGTGCGTGTGGCCAGTGCGT